GATATTTAAGAAATCATCCATTTTGCAATTTAATTTTAAGAAAATGCGATTTCGCACTGTCTAAAAGGTACTTCAATCGATTTTAAATAAATTCATTGAAATCCAATTCTGCATGACTTATTCTTGTGAACAATCTTATTTAATTATTGTATGAAAACTTGTATATGTGAAAAAAAAAGAAGCTTTTACATTTTTTCAAGACCGGATGCATTATCGCGCAGCATTTTTGAGCTTAGCACGCGTATTAAACGCTTTGTTCTTTGTTATCCATAAACTTGTTTTTCAAAAAAAAAAAAAAATTCTCAAGACTGAATGTGTTGTGCATTATCACACAGCACTTTGAGGCTTAGTACATACGCGTTCGAACGTGCTTTGTTCTTTGTGGTACAATGCAATTAAGTATAATAGAATGTTAAAACATTTTACATTACAAACTGGCACAAATCTCTTCGTGGAACATAAAAACAATAATAAACAGTTTAGTTTAATTCTATAATTGTAGCAATGGCTATAATCATGTGACTTAATACCGCAAAATACCCTGTGAATTATAAAAAAAAACCTGTTTATCAAAAAAAAAAGAAAAAGAAAAAAATTTTTACATTTTTTCAAAACCTAATTTTTTGCAAATGTTCATTATCGCGCAGCATTTTTGAGGCTTAGTATGTGTATTAAACGCTTTGTTCTTTGTTATTCATAAAAAATTTGTTTTTCTAAAAAAAAAATTTTCTCAAGACTGAATGTTGTACATTATTGCGCAGCACTGTGAGGCTTAGTACATACGCGTTCGAACGCACTTTGTTCTTTGTGGGTAAAAATTCAATTAAGTGGATTTATTTTTTATATGATAACTCATTTTACATTACAAACTGGCACAAATCTCTTTGTGGAAAAAAAACAATAAATTTTAGGTTAATTGTTGCAATGGCTATCATCATGTGACTTAATACCGCAAAATATGGGCAGCCGTCAATAGAAATCAAACAAATCTACATTTGAAAAAAATTAATGCCTCAAATTTCACAACCAATATCTTGATGAATTTTGAAGTTATCCTGATAAGTTAATATTCAAAAAAAAGCTTATGATCTAAGCTTTCTTTTGAATATTAAACCATCAAGATGGCTTTAAAATTCATTGATATATGAGCTGTGAAAGTTAAAGAATTGATTTTTTTTCAAATGTAGATTTGCTTGATTTCTATTGACGGCTGCCCATATTATCACTTTGAAAAAAACTTGTTTATTAAACAAAAGAAAATTTTACATCTAAGACCTAATTGTGCAGCATTTTTGAAGCTTAGTACGCAATATGAATAATATAATAATCTAGAGTATACCGAATTTATTTTTTTATATAATATAAAGTCGTTAGATTAAAAATATAATTTTATTAATAAATTCGGCACCATGAAACATAAGAACAACATAAGAACAATTGAGGTTAATCCATTTTTGTTATCATGTGACTTAATACCGTAGTTATAATATAATTTATTCCATAATAACATATTTATAACCCGGTTTTTATAACGTAAAAATATATAATTAAAGGGAAGAAAAAAAAAAAATCTTAAATAATAACAAAAAATTATACATTAATCTAGCCCAATCAATTATACGTAAAAAATATAAATTAATGTCAAATAATATAAAAACCAGTTTTTATTTTATAAAAAAATTTAATATTCATTTTTAATAATTTCAGAATGGGTATTTATTGTGTTTTACAAAAACTAGTTTTTATAATTGCATTTATTTATTATCGAGTCATCAAGTTTGCTATAAAAAGACTCTCTTATTCAAAGTTTAATTTTTTTAATACCTTATTCGCTATCAAATAAAATTCAAATAAAATCGAATCATTGCTTTTTACAATATTCACTAAAAATGCCTAAAGTCAAAAAACTAAAAAAGTCTCAAGAAGATAATTAAATGGCATACATACAACAAACCATTCAAAAAGATTAACGATTTCATTTTTAGGAAGTACCGGTATAAAGTTAACTATCAAATTTGGAGAAATTATTAAAGAATCAGATGATCAAAAGGAATATGATCACACTAAATTAACATTACGACATTCCTATAAAGAAGCAAACTACGACACAACTATTAATCTCAAGCAAGTAACTTATAACAAATTTAACGATAAATTTTTTGCCAAAGAAGGAACTGTTGAATATCTCATTACCAGAGACAATAATGAGATAAAAAAAGAATGCCACAAAATGGAAAACCTTACTATAGAATTTACTAAAACTTTTACAATATTGAAACCCTTATAGACTTTACTAAAAGCTAAAAATTCGACATTATATATTAAAAAGAGTTTCGACAATTAAGAATTACTTATTTTTTAACATCATTATTCCCATCATATGCGTACTAGCTTTGTTTTGTATTTCCTGCAATGTAATTATAAAAAAACTTGTTTATTGTTTAAACAAAAGGTAGATATTCTTAATCTCTTTAATTCTATAAATAAAAATTAATAAATATAAAAAAAGATTGATATTAAATTTTTTTCATTTTCTCAAAACCTAATTTTTCGCATTTTTCAGTCAAAGTCGCGTATCAGCACGTGCTTTGTCTTCATGTTACAATGTTACAATATAAATATAGTATATATCCCGAATTTATTTTTTGAATAATATTAAACTTGAATTAATTATATATTTTTTAAAAATAATAAATTCGGCACCAATCATTGTGAAACATAAGAACAATTGTATTTAAAAATGAATAAAATTCTTAAATCATTATCCCCAATTAATTATTTAGGCAGTATCGTGAAGATTGCAGGATACATAAAATAAATATACTACGTACTCAAGTTAAAGGTGAGTGTGACAACCCAACCTTACTTAGTATGTTACGAATGTTATGAATAGTGATTTTTCACCATTAAGTGTTTTGTTATCTGTTTGGAATATATATTTGGACATTTTGAAGCGAAATTATGAGAAATCGTTAGTCTTGTGTGATTTTTTTTTAACCTAATACATATATATACTTTTACCAAAATTTTGCTTCGTAAAAAGAAGAAATCTATACAGGTGAGTTTTCTTATTGATTACTTGTCGAGTTATAGTATATCCAAAGTTACGCTGCCACATCTGTGCAATGAAATCTGATAGAGAATTGAAAGCGCATCGGGCCAACCATTTGGTTGAACGTTCTCCTCTATCAGTTATTGATGTTCCTGTAGTACTGGCCCTGTCTGCGTTAGAGAGGACCTTTCTGTATTAAAAT